AACAAAGAGTTGGTTCTTTGAAAAAATCAACAACAGAGACAAACCTCTATCCAAATTAACCAAAAGGCAGAGAGAGAGCATCCAAATTAACAAAATCAGAAATGAAAAGGGAGACATAAGAACAGACAACGAGGAAATCCAGAGAATCATCAGGTCATACTTCAAAAACCTGTACTCCACAAAATTGGAAAAACTAAAAGAAATGAACAATTTTCTGGATAGGTACCACATACTAAAGTTAAATCAAGACCAGATAAACTATTTAAATAGACCAATAACCCCTAAGGAAATAGAAACAGTCATTAAAAGTCTTCCAACCAAAAAAAGCCCAGGACCAGATGGTTTCAGTGCAGAATTCTACCAGATTTTGAAAGAGGAGCTAATTCCAATTGTTCCACACAATAGAAACAGAAGGAACATTACCAAACTTTTTATGAGACTACAGTTACCCTGATACCCAAACCACACAAAGATGCAACAAAGAAAGAGAATTACAGACCAATCTCCCTCATGAACACTGATGCAAAAATACTCAACAAAATATTGCCAAAACGAATCCAAGAACACATCAAAAAAATTATCCACCATGACCAAGTAGGCTTCATCCCAGGGATGCAAGGATGGTTCAACATATAAAAATCTGTCAATGTAATACATCATATAAACAAACTGAAAGAAAAAAACCACATGATTATCTCATTAGATGCTGAAAAATCTAATCAATATTTATATGTATAATTCAGCTATCATTTGGCTTAAAAGGGTTTATTGGGAAATGTTATCATTTTTACTATTCTCTACAGAGAAAATATTTTCCAGTTTCAAATAACCCTGGACTTTTGAATTATAACTTGTTTTTATGTTTTAAAAAAAGTCTGTATAATTAACCCCCACCCCCAAAAAAGAAGTCATTGCCTGTCCCCTCAAGTTCTGTTTCACAAGTTCTCTGTGTTGAATTGAATCATATAATATAAAACTTCCTGCCACCCCCTAAACTTTTTAAATTAAATTAATTTATTTATGTTACATGCTGACCACAGTTTTATCCTCCCATTCCCTATCCCACCTCCTCTTTTCTCCCAAATCCACTCCTCCTCAGTTTTTGTTCAGATAAGTGCAGGTCTCCCATGGATAGCAATAAATCATGCATATCAAGTTTTGGTAGGACTAAGCTCCTCCCCTTGTTGTAAGGCTGGATAAGACAACCCAGTATGAGGAATAGGTTCCCAAAAGCCAAACAAAGCAGTGGGGACACTTTTAGGAGACCCACAAGTAGAGCAAGCTACACAACTGTCAGTCACATATATGTAGAGGGTCTAGGTTAGTCTCATGCAAGCTCTCTGGTTGTCAGTTCAGACTCCGTGAGCTCATATGAGCCCAGGTTAATTGATTCTATGAGTTTTCTTGTGATGTCCCTGACCTCTCTGACTTGTACAATCCTTCCTCTCTTCAGCAAGATTTCTGAAGCTCTGTGTAATGTTTGATTGTGGGTTGCTGGATGAAGCCTCTCTGATGACAATTGGGGTAGACACCAATCTATGAATATAACAGAATTATTATTGGGCATCATTACATTGACTTTTTCTCCAGTCATGTTTGGTTCTATTCTAGGTCTTTGGGTCATCCAGCCTCTGGTTCCTGGCACTCCAGGCAGTGTCAGGGGTGGGCTCATTCTCATGGCATGGGTCTTAGGCTGGACCAGTCATTGGTTGGCCACTACCACAATCTCTGGGACACCCTTAACCCAGCACATCCCATAGGTAGGACAGACTGTAGGTCAAAAGTTATGTGGCTGTGTTGTTGTCCCAATCCCTCTACTGGAAGTCTTGCTTGGTCACGGGAGATGGCTAGTTCATGCTACATATGCACTATTGCCAGGAGTCATAACTGGGGTCATCCTTGTAGATTCCTGGGAGTTTCCCTTGCACCACGTTTCTACCTGACCCCGAAATGCTCCCCCTTGCAGCCATCTCTTTCCGTAACCCCCTTCCATAACTCCTTAAAATTTTGTGAAAGTCTGATATTCATTCTGTTTTTTCTGGGGATTCTTTCTGAGCAGTCCTTTGTCTCCACTGCCATCCTTTTCAGGATGTCTGGAATGCTCTCTTGTTCTCTCTTCTTTTTTTTTTTTTTTTTTTTTTTTTTTTTTTTTTTTTTTTTTTTTTGGTTTTTCGAGACAGGGTTTCTCTGTGTAGCTTTGTGCCTTTCCTGGAACTCGCTTTGGAGACCAGGCTGGCCTCAAACTCACAGAGATCCTCCTGGCTCTGCCTCCCGAGTGCTGGGATTAAAGGCGTGTGCCACCACCGCCCGGCAATTGTTCTCTCTTCTTATATCTTTTATTTTCACTCTTTTTTTCTTTTGAGACAGAATCTCACTGTGTAACTGACCAGCCTGGAACTCAGAGATATGCCTGTTTCTGTCTCTAAGGTGCAGGAATTAAAGTCATGTGTACCACCACACCCAGCTTTTTTTTTAAATTCATTTCACTCTTTCCCATAGCCAGCTTTTTTATTCACTCTTTTTTTTTTTTTTTGAGACAATGTTTCTCTGTGTAGTCCTGGCTGTCCTGGAACTTGTTCTCTAGACCAGGCTGGCCTCAAACTCACAGAGATCTGCCTGCCTCTGCCTCCTGTGTCCTGGGATTAAAGGTGTGTGCCGCCACCACTCAGCTTTTATTCACACTTAATGAGGATCCTATCCAGGTCTTTTTAAACATTTTTATTATTTTTAAGTATGTGTATGTGTGTGTCTGTGACTGAGTGGACACTATGCAAGTGAGTGCAGGTGCCATGAAGGTCAGAGGCCTGGAACTGGAGTGGCAGACAATTATGAGTTTGCTGATGTGGGTGCTGGGAACTGAACTCAGGTCCTCTGCAGGAGCAGAGCATACTCTTAAACACTAAGCAATCTTTCTAGTCCCTCCTTTCCAGGTTTATAGGCAAGGCTCCTCTTTTCTTTAGGACCCCTGTCATGTCTAATGCTCTTCCTCCCACCAGGAGGTCTGATCATGGTCTCTTTCTCTTTCTCCTAATAAATCTCATTCATGACGTGTAATTATATGTCAACTTCCTTTCCTGCACTGACCTTGATTTCTTTTCTTTTCTTTTTTTTTTTTTTTTAAAGATTTAGCTATTTATTATAAGCGCCATATCTCATTACAGATGGTTGAGAGCCACCATGTGGTTGTTGGGAGTTGAACTCAGGACCTCTGGAAGAATAGTCAGTGCTCTTAACCACTGAGCCATCTCTCCAGCCCCCTGACCTTGATTTCTTTTTATTTTCTTTTCTCTTTCTTTTGTGACCTTGATTTCTATTGTATTGCTACTATTATTCCCCTGCTCCCCTGCTTAATAACAAACCAATTAGTATACAGATCCATTTGTATATCATTCTCTCTCTCTCTCTCTCTCTCTCTCTCTCTCTCTCTCTCTCTCTCCAGGGTTTCATTATGTAGCCCTGGCTGTCTTGGAACTTACTATGTAGACCAGGCTGGCCTGGAACATGGAGATCTGCTTGTCTCTGCCTCTTAAGTGCTGGGATTAAAGGCGTGCACCACCACCACCACCCACCACCTGGTGAGATTTTTTTGAAAGACCAGGTTAGATTTATTCAGTCAACCAGTTTAATAAGAACGTCCATTATAGCCGGGCGGTGGTGGCGCACGCCTTTAATCCCAGCACTCGGGAGGCAGAGCCAGGCGGATCTAAGTGAGTTCGAGGCCAGCCTGGGCTACCAAGTGAGTTCCAGGAAAGGCGCAAAGCTACACAGAGAAACCCTGTCTCGAAAAACCAAAAAAAAAAAAAAAAAAAAAAAAAAAAAAAAGAACGTCTATTATGTATTATGTATCAGTCCAGCAAGCAACATGCTTTGGGGACCAACAACAATCTGCAGCCACACCACCCAGCTGTAAAGGCTCCAGCTTTGCCCTCTTTGATTCGCTAAGAAGCCCTGCATCCCCATCACTCTCTGTTGCAGCACCTTGCTCTTCATCTCCATAGCAACTATCAAGTTTCCAAAGGGCAAGTCTTATTTCTGCCTGGTTTTTTCCTTCCTACCCCAAGTTTGCAGCTCCAATGGGACAATCACCATGCTTTCTCATCATGGTATCCCCATCCTACCAGAGTGGCAACGGAACAGGAATTCAGTACACAGGACCTGAGAGACAGCTACATTTACATGATAGCACTTGCTGTCAAATCAACAAGACTCAAGTACAGATTCCCAGCACCCATGTCAAAGCCAGGCACAGCCCTGCAGGCCCGTAACTCCAGCCTTGGGAGGCAGAGACTGGCATCTTAGGAGCTCTCTGGCCAGCCATTCCAGCTGAAACAGCTTCAGTGAGAGACCTTGTCTCAAGGAAGGTGGAGAACAAGAGAAGACACTGAGGTCCTCCTTTGCCTACCACTGAGGAGCACTAAACACCAACACACACACACACACACACACACACACACACACACACACACACACACACACAAGCAAATTATATGTATATATATATATATATATATATATATATATATATATATATATATATATATATATATATATATATTTATTTTTAGACAGATTCTCATTATGTCGCCTAAGTGGCCTCGAATTTGCAATTCTCTTGCCTCATCTTCCTCAGGTCCGGAATTTCAGGTCCAGGGAGAACGGTTCAAAAATCTCTAGATCAAGCTGGGCAGTGGAGGTTCACCCCTTAATTCCAGCACTCTGGAGGCAGAGGCAGGCAGATCTCTGTGAGTTCGAGGCCAGCCTGGTCTACAGAGCGAGTTCTAGGACTGCCAGAGCTGTTACACAGAGGAACCCTGTCTTGAAAAGGCAAAAACCAAACCAAAACAACAACAAAATCTCTTGACCAACCAGGTGTCAGAACAGGAACTTCAGCAATTTGGCCAGGGTTTGGGACTTTGCTAGCGACAACCCCATTTCCAGGCAGCGGGCAGGCCCTCAGCCTCCGCCCTGCCCCTACGGTGACGCAGCTCTGACGCAGGCCCAGCGGCGCGCGCTGTTTCCGGAAGTGTCCCCCGCGGTCTGTTCCGTGGCTGCCTCCGACACTGCGGTCGCTGCTCTTCGCTGCGGAACTCTGCGCGTGGACCGGTGTCGGCCTGGGCGGGGCCAGGGTTCGGTCTGAGCGGCAGAATGGAGATAATCCGGAGCAGTGCGTGTCCGCCGCGTACCCCCCCTTGTCTGCAAGCCGACCCAGCGTGCTAGGCCTAGACCTCGTGTGCTTGGCGGGGCCCGGGGCCAAGTCAGTCCTGCTAGGCTTTGCATCCTCTGAAGCCGGTGGTGTTGGAGGGACTGTCCCTCTGCGAAACTGACACCTTTGGCACCTTTGCTTTTCTCTTCCCCGTGCATCTCCTCTGGCCTAGCCCTCTTTAGTCGTGCACACTTCGGGTCTTGACTCCTCTGCCTAGCCACCCCTGAAGAAGTTGTCTCCCTGTGGTCCTTGCACATCCTAGGGACTTGTCCGTCTCTTCCGTGGCCCTGGGCTCTCCTCCGGACCCTTCTCCCATCTTTTAGTTGGTGGGCAGGAAGGCCAGCCACCTGTTCTGAGCTTCTTCTTGGTTTCTCTACAGATTTTAAGATTAATCTTCACAAAGTGTACCAGGCCATAGAGGAGGCTGACTTCTTCGCCATCGATGGGGAGTTTTCAGGTATCACTCCCTTGAAAGCTCTGGGCTTACACCTTGTATAGCTAAGACTCCTTTCGTAATCTTGCTGGTTATGGCAAAAGCGTGAGAAAGATGCAGTGGTTCTCTGATTCGTAAGGCTGTGAGGTTTGTGGATACAGATTATGGTTCTGGTGCTGCTTAAAACAATTTAGGTGTATATGGTTAAAAAGCAGGGGATTTAGTTCTTTTATTGTTGTTCTCTCCCCGCCCCCCAGGGTTTCTCTGTGTAACATCCCTGGTAGTCCTGGAACTCTCTTTGTAGACCAGGCTGGCCTTGAACTCACAGAGATCCTCCTGCCTCTGCTTCCTGAGTGCTGGGATCAAAGGCTTACGTGCCCCAGGCCCTCTCCATCTAATTTAAAAAAATACATTCACTTGTTGAACCTAGAGCTGCCCATTTCAGTTAGAGGGTGGCCAGCAGCCTCTAGGATCTGTTTCTCCCCACAAGCCCTCCAGTGCTGGGGTTACAGGTGTGTGTTGCCATGCTCAGTTTTTATACAGTGAGGTCCAAACTCAGGACCTTTTGTTTGCATGGCGAACACTATCCTTAGAGTCATTTCCCAGCCCTGTTTCAGTTGTTCTTAAGTAGTTTTGCAATTTGGTGGCATTAATTACACACATGTTGCTATGCAGCCAGCACCGTCCATTTCTGGAATTATTTTTTTTTAATTTTTTTTATTTTTTTTGGTTTTTCGAGACAGGGTTTCTCTGTGTAGCTTTGCGCCTTTCCTGGAACTCACTTGGTAGCCCAGGCTGGCCTCGAACTCACAGAGATCCGCCTGGCTCTGCCTCCCGAGTGCTGGGATTAAAGGCGTGCGCCACCACCGCCCGGCTCATTTCTGGAATTTTAAAAAACCTTAAACAGACACACTACTCATGGGCATACTCATTACTCCCGTTAGCCTCTGTCAGCCATCATCTGTCTTTGATTGTGGCCACTCTAGACACATTGTGTAAGTGAAATCCTATAGTATTTTGTGACTTGCCAGGGCCACACTTGGATGGCAAATAAGGATATTACTTAATGCTTTAGTGGAAATCTTTATTGCTTAGCTCAGTAGATACATGTGTGCATGTATGTGTGTTTGTGTGTGTTTGCATAAGTGTGTGCACATACATATGCATGAATGGAGGCCAGAGTTCAACATTGGATGCTTTCCTCAAACTCTACTTTTCTTTCTTTTTTTTTGAGACAGCATCTCTTACTGAACCTAGAGTTCACTGATTTTACCTGGTTGTCTGTCTGGCCAGGGTGCTCCAGGGATCCAGTCTCCCCAGTGCTACACGTAGCTGTTTGCATCGGTTCTGGGGATTCTAACTCAGGTCCTCATGCTTACACAGCAAGTGTTTTGCTGACTGATCCATCTCCAACCCCTAATTATTATTTTTCTATGAATGTAGGAATCCAACCTGGGCCCTCTCATGTGCAAGGCAAGCAAGCACTTCTACCAGTGAACTATACCCACAGCACACATTAATGTTAATTTTGAAAAAGTGTGATATAGACACTGAATTAATTTTAACTAATAGGAATATGAATAGGCACTATGGAGACTGACACTCTAGCATGTGACAGTTTTACACTAGCATTTATTTATGAGCCCAATCCTTATTTTTTATGATCTAGGAATCAGCGATGGACCCTCAGTCACTGCATTGACAAGTGGTTTTGACACCCCAGAAGAGAGATATCAGAAGCTTAAAAAGGCAAGTGGATATGCCTAAAAGTCTTTTTCTTTGTCATGTGGATCCTGCTGTTGAATTATGAAGAGGTGGAATCATTAAACTTACACGTCCATGTTTTCTAAGTGAGGTGTGTCTTCTCAACACCAGCCACAAAATACTTTTGTGATGCTTAAAATAGCAAAAAGTATTGTTTGCTGGAAAACATTCTGAGGAAGGGCTATTATTTCTTAAAATTAATTTGATATATAGGAAATTAATATGATGTAATTATTGTAGTAATTTGGAAATAGGCCTAATGCTATGCTCTGGGGATGATAGATGGCTTCTTAGTTGGGAACATAGTTGTGTATAAATGAATAAGACTTCTCATGTATAGCCTGCAGTCTGTTCCCACTGGCCTGTTTTGCTGAAGTTTTATTGAATGATTCAGAAAACCACCAGATTGAGAATACTTGCTCATGTCAGATATGTGGCTCTCTTGTGACTGATGTTTTATTTTTCTTTTCCAGCATTCTATGGACTTCTTACTGTTTCAGTTTGGCCTTTGCACTTTTAAGTATGACCACATAGATTCCAAGTAGGTTGTCTTAATGGTTGGGAATTCCTAATTTGTCTGCTGGTATCACCCCTAAATGTCCTTTCTCTTGTTTTTCCAGGCACGTAACGAAGTCATTTAACTTCTATGTTTTCCCCAAGCCTTTCAGTAGGTCCTCACCAGATGTCAAGTTCGTTTGCCAGGTCAGTAGTGGAACTGCATTTCTCCATTTATGAAGTGCTGTTGGGACGGAGTGGAAATGTAGAATTCCTTTAGACTTAGCTCTAGGGGCTGGAGCTGTAGGCCAGTTAGTAGAGTGCTTACCCAGCATGAATGATGCCCTGGGTTCCAGCTCCAGTACCACATAGTGGTGCATGCTGTGATTTGGCCTTGGGAGGGAGGTGGAGGTAGAGGGATCATTAATTAGAAGTCATCCTTGACTACATAGTGAGTTTGAGGGCAGTCTGGACTATATGAGACTCTGTTTCAAAAACAAAAAACAACGCCACCCCCCCCCCACCCCCCCCCCCGAAAAAACGAAACCAAACCAAGCTTTGGGTAAGTTATCTCACCTTTATTCTTAGATTTTAAAATTAATGACATTGTTATCTCCTCTTCATTTCAGAGTATTATAAGGAATAGGCTATAAAGATAAGCAGATGGAAATTAGATCATGAACTTTATTATAATAAAGCTGGGTTGGGGGTCATGACATTGCAGTGGGACTCTATTTGGGACTTCTGCTGTCTTCCTCTGGATTTATCCTATAGTAGGACCCACAGACTTCTCCTCACCTCATTGTCTTTGTTCCTTCCTCAAGGGTGGAGCTTTATTTTCTGAAAGAGTCAAACTTCTTAAACCTGGGTCCTTTACCTTAACTCACCAATTTGGAAACAGAAGGTGGAAGAGACTCCGCTTTCCTTTTGAGAAGGGCACCAAGTACAGATGCAAGGAGGCTTGAGATTGTGGTAGCTGGCTTGGCAGACACTGGATACGTAAAGTTTCCTTCTGTCTGCTGGTAATTTGTCATCACGGATAAGGAGAGTAAACGTGGGGCTGCCTCTCTTCCCTGTAATCCTGCAGCTTAGGGTCTCTCTCCCTAGTAACATGAGTTCATCTTTGTCTTTTCCTTTTTTACCGTAAAAGTAGTAATGCAGCTGTGGACATCCAGAGGACAGACTCCTGGGTACTTTCTAAGTAACAAGATAAGGGCTGGCAATGTAGCTTAGTAGGTAGAGTGAGTGCTTGCCTGCTATGCACGAGTCTTTGAACTTGATTCCCAGCACTTGCATAAACTGCGCAAGTGGCACATACCTGTAATTCTAGGGTCTCATGTATGATAGGTAAACATTTTATAAACCGAGCTATCTCCCTGGCCCTAAAGTTGTTTTGCTGTTGTTGTTTGCTTGTTTTATTTAAAAGTACAACTGCAGGAGCTGGGGATATGGCTGAGTGGGGGAATCTCAGCTCGGATTCCCTACAGCCGTGGAGAATCAGGGCTCACCAGCCAGAATCTGTAGTCCCAGGGCTGTGTGTTGAGACAGGTAAATTCTGAGGGGAGGTGCCTGCTGGCTAGCTAGTCTGACTGAAAAGGCAAGCACCAGGTTCAATGAGAGACCATGTCTCAAAAATTAAGGTGGAGACTGAATGAGGAAAATACTCAGTGTTGACCTCAGGCCTCCACATATGGCTGAGTATGGGTAAGTTGAGTGCACCTTTGCACACGTGTATATAGATGTGTATGTATCACATACAGTCAAGTGTATATATACACACAGCAAAGTAGAGAGTGATGTGAAGATACAGGTATGCATAAGCACATGTACCGCCCCCCCCCATACTACATACACATATACACACACATACATCCACATAGACACACGCCCACATCTGCAGAGCTACATTTTACAAAGGAGTTAGGTGCTAGAGTCTGAATAGATTAAAATTATGTCACAGTTGTTCTCAAAGAATTCTCATCCTTAAGTCATCTGGGACCTAAAGGCAAAGTAGCTTACTGTGTCCTTGAACATTAAATGTGTTTAGCACTGAGCTGCTAGGTAAGGTGGAGGAATGGGCTGGGGAGTGCTGCCTAACCCAGGGCTCGAGGTGGAGTGAAGCAAATGGGGTTGCAAAATGGCATTTACATGCTTTTTGTCTTCTTTTCCTGTTTCCGCACCTTCTCTTTGTTGTGTGAGACTTGGTCCCATGAGGGTCAGGCTGGTTTCAAACTCACTAAGTAGCTAAGGATTACCTTGAACTTCTGTTTCTTCTGCTCGATGTGTGTCACAGATCTGCCTTTGTCTTTAATAGATGGTAAAATAATTGTATGTATACCAAAGAATTTTCCTAGAATAAATGTTACTGTGATTAATTTATCAGCAAATGGTTGATTTGTCTACCTATTTTATATGTCTGTGTCTGGGGTTGTGTGAAATTTCTTGGGTGAAAAGGGGTTTCTAGTGGAAAAAGTTCAAGCAGCCCTGGTTTGGCACTTAGTAGACAATGCCTATCCAGGCCCTTCTTAGTGTGTCTGTCAGAGATGGAGTGTTTGCATGGCTATATAAGACTTTAGGAGAACATAGGAAATTGCAGTAGCTACAGTATTATTCTCCTCTTTAGTTGCTTTGAGGAAGGGCTTCATGATTTGGCCAAATTCATATAAAATCTCTAAAATTATTTACTCAGCTTTAATGAATCTATTCACATCTTTCATCTTCTAGGTACAGGATATGTTTGTTTAGTTAGGTTTTCTCAGGGATTTTGCCCTCTGGATCTTGAACATTAAAATCATCCAATTGACTAGGTGGTGGTGGCACATGCATTTAATCCCAGAACTCAGGAGGCAGAGTCAGGTGGGTTTCTGTGAGTTTGAGGCCAGCCTGGTCTATAAAGTGAATTCCAGGACAGCCAGAGCAGTTATATAGAGAAACCCTGTCTTGGAAAACCAAAAACCAAAAACCATCCAACTCTCCAGGTCTGGTGGCACAGGCCTGTAATCCCAGCTACTTAGGAGACTGAGGCAGGGAGCAACAGAGCTCCAACTATCAGTGGGCTACAGAGTGAGTACAAAGCTATCTTTGACAACTCAGTGAGACCCCGTCTGAAAAAACACAAAGCAGAGTGCTGAGGATACAGCTCCATGGTAGAGCACTTGCATAGCATGTATGAAGCTGTAGGTTCAATCTCCACTTCTTAGAAACAAAAACAAGAGCCCACAAGGAAAGACTATTTAGGGCTGTGAATGCAGCCAGCTCATTTGGTGGAGTGCTGGCCCAGCATGAGTGAAGCTTTGGAGTCCATCCCTAGGACCTGTAGACTGGGTGTGGCTGTGCATAGCCGCAGTCTCAGCTCTCCGGAAGCTTCAGGATTAGGAAGTTCAGGGTCATCATATTCAGCTACGTGGTGAGTTCTAGCTATCCTAGCTACATGAAGCCATGCCTCAAAAAAACAATACAAACCAGTATGAGACAAAAGAAAACATCCAATTAAGATTTTGATCCTTCAAGACTGGTAAGAAGGCCGAGGGGGTAAAAGTGCTTGCTTTGAATTCAGTGCCTTGAATTCTACAGGTTGTCCTCTGACTTCCACATGTGCCTGCCATTCCACCACCACCCCTCTTACACACACACACACACACACACACACACACACACACACACACACACACATACTATGCTACTAATGATAAGATGTGGGCCTTCTGTATCCGACTCAGTGTAGATAATGCCTTACATTCCTTCAGTTTATACTCGAGGTTGTGTGGATGTACTTTATTTCTGTTTACAGCCTCACAGTCAGTGTAGTAGCAGAGGGCAGGATCCTACTTCATTGTGGAGTTATCTGTCCATACTCAGTGGATTTTAACATTATAAAACAGAGAATGTTTTATAAAGCTACTAAGGGGAAGAGCCATGGTGTTTTAAGTGAATGAATAGTCATGGCAGCTATGGCTAAAGACTTTTGACCTTTGGCCTGCTTCTTTCTTGTTGTGTTGTCATGGTTACTTGTCTGCATCACCTCTCTGCTGTTTTGACACTGGCCTTGAATCTCACTGACATGTGTGTTGTTTGTTTCAGAGCTCCAGCATTGACTTCCTAGCGAGCCAAGGATTTGACTTTAATAAAGTGTTTTGCAGTGGTAAGACTGGCTTTGCAGTTGATAAACCTTTGAAATCCTTCAGAAGTAAATCTCATTTTGCTTAAGAATCATCATGTTTTAAGTCTTTTTATTTTATCAATTTAGAGTTCATCATGTAGACAGTGCTAGGTTTCATGTGCAGTTATGTGGTTACAGATGTGTGCTGCCACATCTAGTTTGTCCGTGGGTGCTGGGGCTCCAAACTCTGCTCCTCATGGCTTCATAGCAGGGGTTTAACTGACTGAGCTATATCCTGAACCTCTATATTTAATTTTTTATTAAAGAAATTTTTACATTTATGTATTATGCCTGTACCACAGAGCTCAGAAGAGGATTTTGTATATTCTGCAGATAGAGGTAAAGGTGTTTGTGAGCTGTTTGATTAGGTGCTGGGAACTGAACTCAGGTCCTCTGGAAGAGCAGCGAATGCTTTTAACTGCTTCAGCTCCACGCTCTTTTTGTAAACCTGGTTAATTCTGAGGTGAGCAGGAGAGTAGTATTTCCTTAAATTGTAATGCGGCCTCTTAAACTCTGACTTGATAGAGAATAGTTCATCATACCCCTTTAGGATTTAGTTATGTCTATGTCCAAATGTAGGAATAGTTTCTAGTTTCTGCCAGTGTGACAGGTGCATGTAATACTTAGCACCGTATTCTAGTCTTTTGGTCACAATATTCCCTTATCCATTACTGTGTATCTTATAATTGGAGATATCTCATGAGGAGAGGTGTGGTCTATATAGTTGGCACGATTCTAAGGGCTTACCTGTAAGGATGTGGGATTGGACAGCATGCTGAGAAGGGACAGTGGCTTCCTCATGTCCCTTCCTCACTGAAGAACATGAGGCCTCTTTGTCAGGGAGGTGACTATTAACTATTTATAGAATAGTAGTGCTGGAATATTGGATAGTAGCACATAGTAGAATGGCCTTCCTTCCCTTAAATGTTTGAGAGTAAAGGTGGCAGGTCAGGTGGTAAGTCAGTGAAAGAGCACTTGCTAGCACAGGTGAGACCCAGTCTCATCCTTAGTACTGCAAAAGGAAAAGAAAAAGAAAGAAGGAAAAAGTAATATTTGGGAGTCAGATGTGGGGTGGCTGCCTGCAATCCCAGTGTTGGAAGCCAAGGCAGGATTATTGCAAGTTCAGTGCCAGCCTTGGCTACATAGCAAGAGACCTGTTCTCAAAAACAGAAGGCCTGGAATAACTCTTCTGCTCTGTGACTTGCAGGCATTCTCCAGGAGCTTGAGCTCTGGCTTGGTATTGTTGTATGCCTATCCCTTCTCTTGCTCAGGGTGACTTCAGCATCCAACAGGATGATCAGAAATGCCCAGTTTTGTGCATTTCTTGAGGAAATGCTAACTTGGAATGATTTTGTTGTCAATTAACTTTGAGGAAATCCTAACTTGGATTGATTTTGTTGTCAGTTAACATAGTGAGTTCCAGGGCTACATGGTGGGACCTTGACTCAAAAAACAAAAACAAACAAATAAAAATAGTTTGTGTGAGGGCTGGACGCATGGCTCGGAAGTTAAGAGTGGTTGTTTTTCTTCTAGGGGGCTGGAGTTCGGTTCCTACCACCTACATCTGGCACCTCACAATTCTAGGGGATCCAAGGTCCTTTTCTGATCTCTGCAGGCACCTGCACAAGACACATACATATTCATATAAATAAAAATAAATTTATAAGAAGAGTTTTCTGTGTGAAATTATGATTTCTTCTAATTTATTCTTTAAACAATTATGTATAGGAATTCCATATCTGAATCAAGAAGAAGAAAGACAGCTGAGAGAGCAATTGGATGAAAAACGTTCTCAGGCCAATGGGGCAGGAGCTCCGACAAAATGTCCTGTGACAATTCCTGAGGATCAGAGGAAATTTATTGACCAAGTAATGTAAGTTCCTAAGCAGACATTGCACAGCACCGGCTTCGGGCTGTCTCACACTGGGTGTGAGAGGCAGGCTTTAATTGTGGCTTATTGGAGGATGTCTGTCTCTCACACCTACTTGTGTTTCATATGCACAGGTGTGCGCAAGTTGATATGAGAGGCTGTCTCTTGATTGTGGCAGGACTTCTGTCTTCCACACCAACTTGTGCTTCAAATGCACAGCTGTTCACACAAGTATAAATGTGAGTTGCAGGCTTTAATTGTGGCATATCTAAACATGGGCAATAACAGCAAGTTGCATCATGTTTGGACCTGTTCCATGCTACTGTGGGGCCTCAGCAGGTGTGCAGATGTCTGGACCAAGCTTTCCTAGAACATTGCCCCATATACACTTTTTGTTTCTTACAGTGAAGTTTTTGACAGGCAGATATGCCCTGGGAGGAATATCTAGTCTTGTATAGGTTAGTTACCAATGTAATAGCTTTATTAGAAAAGTCAAAAATATATTACTAGTATTGATGAATTCTTTCTTAAAATACAAGTTTTGTGCATGTGTAAGTGGTATATATACACATATGTGTGAGTGTCTGCATGAGAAGGTCAGAGAAGGGGGTTGGGTATCCTGCATCACTCTTTGCTTTATTACTTTGAGGTAGGTTTCTCCCTGAACCTGGAGCTAGGCTGGCCATCAGCACGGCTCAGTGATCCTCCTGTCTCTGCAATGCCCCTCCTCATCACTGCGGTCATGGCTGTATGTTAAGCCCTGCCTGACTTGTTGGTGTTAGGATCTGCACTTGCCCTCATGGTTGTATAGCAAGCACTCTTAACTTGTCTCTGTAACTTTAGCATTGATTAATTGTTTGAGAAATTGTTATAATTTTAAGAGTTTCACCCAAAGCATATGTAAAAACACACCTATTTTCTTTGGTTTTGATTATCTTTTTGATTTGCTCAGAATGTATGGAAAGAAGACCTATAAGCATAAGAAATATGTTCTTGGGATTCGGAATGTGACTTAGTTGGTAGAATGCTTGCCTGTAACGCACAGGGCGTAGGGTTTTGCGTGAATTGAGTGTAGTGGTGCATGAGTGTAGTGGTGAACATCTGTAATCCTGGGAGGGAGGAGGACCAGGAGAAGCAGAAGGTCAAGCTGTCTTCAGTACATAGCAAGTTTGAGGTCAGCTTGGGATACATGAAACTGTCTCAAACAAGAAAAAAGGGGAAAAACTAGACTGCTTTTGTGTGTGGGGGCATGTTCCAGAGATAGAATTCAGGCTTTTGTTCACGTAGACAAGTGCTGTGCCTCTGGCTTCTCCCCAGCCCAGTATTTACATTGCTTTTGAGTGTAACTATTGCTGGTGACTCTGAGTATGGGTTTTGAGTACAATGACTGTTCTGATCACTTCATTCCTTCAAGGTACTGATGGTCATTGTCTGATTCTTACTCATCAGAGAGAAGATAGAGGACTTCCTACGAAATGAAGAGAAGAGCTTGGATCTAGAGCCGTGCACTGGGTCAGTTGCTGTTTGTTGCATGCATTCCTTTTTAGGAGAGGAGTTCTGCTTTTTGATGTGTGTTCTCTTCTTCCCTCCCTCCTTCCTTCCTTCCCTCCCTCCCTCCCTCCTTCCCTCCCTTTCTTTCTTTAAATTCTTTTTTTTTTTTTTTTTTTTTTTTAGACAGGCTTTCTCTGTGTAACAGCCCTGGCTGTCCTGGAACTCACTCTGTAGACCAGACTGGCCTCGAACTCAGAGATCCCCTGCCTCTGCCTCCTGAGTGCTGGGTTTAAAGGCATGTGCCACCATGCCAAGCATGTGTGGTCTTTTTACAACATCCTTATCAATAGTCTTTCTGTCATAGGTGTGCTCCTAAGACTTGTAGCACTAACACAGTGGGAATGTTTGTCTGCTGAGACTCAGAATGAAAACTTTGTCCCATCCTTGGACAGCACTTAGCCTTTAGGTTGTGCCCAGGAGCAGCATCATTGGCCTGGAGGAGTGCTAAACACATGAGGACCTCAGAAGAGAAGGATTCACTGTCAGGCCACCTCTGTTCTTTTAATTTCTCTCTACAGAGAAAAACCAAATCAGCATGTGAGAGTATCTCAGCATCTTTCCCCCTTTTACTTATGACACACTTCACAAAGGTGTTGGAATGCAGCTGTAGGAAGCAATATATTTGACCATAATTTCTACCTAGTCTCTAAAAGCAATATAGTGTAGCTGGAAAGTTTTCTCTCTGGGTTCCGCCAGGCCCTGGCAGTCCGACAGCCCACTTATAAAATAAACACACAGATGCTTATATTATTTAAACTGTTTGGCCTAATGGCTCAGGCTTCTAGCTATCTAGTTCTTACATCTTAAATTAATCCATTTCTATAAATCTATACCTTGCCATGTGGCTTGTGGCTTACCGGCATCTTCACATGCTGCTTGTCATGGCGGCGGCTGGCAGTGTCTCCCTCCGCCTTCCTGTTCTCTCAATTCTCCTCTCTGTTAGTCCTGCCTATACTTCCTGCCTGGCTACTGGCCAGTCAGTGTTTTATTTATTGACCAATTAGAGCAACACATTTGACATACAGACCATCCCATAGCAATATAGTAACTTTAAAATTTTGATAAAGGCAAAAGATGAGTCCTTCCACCTCAGAAATGTGCCTATATTTGTTGTCCATACCATTTTCTAATGAGGACACTAAATTCAATCTTTCCCAAGCATCAACTTAATAGCCCAAGTTAATTCCTTCTTTTGTTTTATAGGTTCCAAAGAAAACTTATTTATCAGACTTTGAGTTGGAAGTAAGTATTTGACTTAGATGTGAGAGAGCTCTCAAGGACAGGGAGTTAACAAAGTACAATCTCTGGTCCCATTGCTCTTGAAATTTTCAGTTATGGGTGATTTGACCCTATCATGTCCCTAGTCAGTTCTTAAATTGATTGCCCTTTTTCTGTTACCACTTTGTATTTGTCTTAAGGCACATGTAACTCTCTCTGTTCTCTGTGTCTTTGCCCTTCCAAACTAAAAAATCATCTACAGTGATGTGTACATGGGAATAATCTTGAAGCAGGACAGAGGAGGGCTGTTGGCTGGTTTGTCCAACCTCCTTTCTTGTCCTCTCCATACATCTAACTCTCCGTGCTTTCCACATCCCTGTCCTCTTTGGCTGCTGCAAACACCGAGGCAAACTGCAATCCAGCAGCGCCCCCCTTCCCTTTGTGTACCCCGTGATGTCTACAGACACTGTCACCACTTCAGTTACAAAGTAGGCATTAGGAAGCAAAATGTCCTCTGTGGCAATTAGTTGACTATATTATGAAATACCAAGCATTTTAGAAAGTGCTAAAAATCCTAAAAAGTTCACATGAAATTGATAACATTCCAGTGCATTTAAGAGAAGAGGCAGAGAACAGCGGCTGAAATGTTATAAGTAGGCTCATTGTAAAGTCTTCCTGTGAAGTTGCAATGATGATTGCCCATGTCAGTAAAACTTCAGTTTCTTTGCCTTTGAGTCTGCACTGATGGTTTTTGTTGTTTGTTTGTTTGTTTGTTTGTTTAGGTATCCCAAAGGCATTCATGTTGAGACACTAGAGACTGAAAAGGTAACTAAAAGTTATTCAGTGCTGGCAGTTCACTAACACGGTGGTGCACTGAGGTGTTGACAGGCTTCCCTTTTCCCTGGCTCCCATGACCTGTGACTGTCCTCTCTGAACCTGCTTTTCCTCATTTGTATATCGGGGACTAAGGATGACGATCTTAAGCTAATGTAGCTTACAGCTGTTAAGATAAAAAAAATTAAAATTCGAAAGATTTATTTTATGTGTGTAATTGTTTTGCCTGCATGTAGAATGTGTACCATGTGCCCATGGAAGCTAAAAGAAAAATTGGAGTTATAGGTGTTTGTGAGCCACCTGTAGGTGCAGGGAATTGAACTCAGGTCCTCTGCAAGAGCAGTCAGTGATCTTAACTACTTGCTAGGCAAGCCCCAACCTCGATCTTAATTACTAAACCATCTCCTCAATGCCATTTAGTGCTTTTTTTTTTTTTTTTTCTTTTTTCTTTTAATTGTTGATTCAGGCCAGGATTGGTTGTGTACTCCTTTAATTCCAGCACTTAGAGGCAGATAGAGCTCTGTGAGTTCCAGGCCAGCCTGGTCTACATAGTGATTTCTGGGACAGCCAGGGCTATGTAGAGAGATCCTGTTTCAAACAAAACAAAACAAGCAAAAAACCAACAAAACCAACCAAATGATTCAGTGGATAAGTGGAAGTGAACTTTTTACCATCTGTTTCATATATTATTTTTAATTAAAGATTTATTTATTTATTTATTTCAGGACAGGGTTTCTCTGTGTAGTTTTGGTGCCTGTCCTGGAGCTTGCTCTGTAGACCAGGCTGGCCTCAAACTCACAGAGATCCACCTGGCTCTGCCTCCCTAGTGCTGGGATTAAAGGTGTGTGCCACAGCTACCCGGCGATTTTTATTTTATGTGCATGGGTGTTTTGTCTGCATGTATGTTTGTGTTCCATGTATGTACAGTGCCAAAAAGGGAATTGGATCTCACGGGACTGGAGTTATAGATAGTTGTTAGCTGCCATGTGGTTCTGATAATCAAACTTGGGTCCTCTAGAAGAGCAGTCAGTGCCCTTAACTGTGGAGCCATCTCTCCAGCCCCTCTTTTTCTCTTAAAATTTTACACACACACATATGCACTTAAAATTTACACACACACACACATACGCACTTGCTTGTCTGTGGCTGTGTGTTGGGAGTTGAGGTGTGTGGAGGTCAGAAGACAACTTGTGAGTCAGTTCCCTCTTCCCAGGGATAGAACTCAGGTTGTCAGAGTTGTCGTTAGGTGCCTTTACCTAATGAGCCATGTCTCCGACCCTTGCACTGTGTGTGCTTAATGAATATAGAATATGATTTATGAGAAATCAGACTATACTTATGCAAGGTTTTTTTCTCATGTTCATAAAATATGTGGATGCTTTATTTAAAACTAATTATTTAGAATTTCGTGGTCAAAAGTTACATAACCTCTATGGTTCCTATACAAAGTCTTATTTGCACATTCTGTGACTGATTTTAACTGATGTTTGTTAGTTTGAATTCCTAAAACACTGGATGTATCATGGACATGCAGATGCAGAGGGCATCTGTGTACCCGCTCAGCTTTGGCATCATCTCAGAATAGTTTCTGTTGTGCTTGCTTATGCTTTGGCTTACAACTTTTTGGTTGTTTTCTTTTTGGCTTATTGAGATGGTCTTATATAGCTGAGACTGGCCTTGAACTCACTATGTAGACCAATACATCAAAGTTGCCATTCAGAGTTATAATCACAGCCCTTTGGAGGCTAAGGGGAGGTCAAGATGTTTCCAGACTACTACTGCACGTTTGCTTTGTCTTTTAGAAGGAGAGACACATAGTTATCAGCAAAGTGGATGAGGAAGAACGCAAGAGAAGGGAGCAGGAGAAGTATGCAAAGGAGCAGGTAAGTGCACTTTCTATTTCTTTTGAGTAAGAAATGAAAATACAGATAGGATTGACTTCTTTCTATGTATTCTGGATCACAGTTGTTGGATCAGTTTGGCCAGCAGATGGCCACTTGTTAAAGGTAATTTTGGTTTGCTTTTGAAGCCCAGTAGGGTCTTAGAATGCAGTTCCTGATTCTCTTGTCTCAGTCTTCCAATTGCTGGGATTACAGCTATGCACTGCCTTGTCTGCCTTAAGTTGTTATTTTTTCATAAGTCACCTTGATTGACTTGGAAATTCTAACATGTCCTATAGCTAGGTATGGTGGCGCATGCCTCTAATCCCAGCCCTTGGAAGGAGGAGGGTGGAAGGTCAGGAGTTCAAGGCCAGCATAAATTACATGAGATCCTGATTCAGAAAAGAAATAAATAACCCCAAATATTTGAAGTGATGTTAACTCTGAGTGCTATTAATTAATTAATGAGTAATTTAACATAGCTTATTTTTCTCTAAAACAGAAAAGTATATAGATTATCCTATTTATCTAGATTTTCTTAAATTAATTTTATTATTTTTAAAGAGGTTCTTGTTTTTTTCTTTTGAGACAGGCTTTCTCTGTGTAGCCCTGGCTGTCCTGGAACTTGCTCTGTAGATCAGGTTGGCCTCAAACTTAGAGATCCTCCTGCCTCTGCCTCCTGAGTGCTGGGATTAAAGATGTTCGCCACCACCACCCAGTGAAGAGTTACTTTTATTATTTTTATTTATGTGTATGTGTGTGTGTTTGAAAGTGAGTGCCACATCTACACAAGTGTGCAGAGGCCAGATGAGGGCACGGGAGTCCCTGAAGCTGGAGTTAAATGCATTTGTGAGCTACCTAATGTGATTGCTGAGAACTGAACTTGGGTCCTCTGGAAAAGTAAATAGTGCTCTTAACATCTATACCAGGAATCTTAAAAGTTCTTATTAATAAAAACAAACCCGAAGCCAGGTATTGGGGTGAATGCTGGAAGATCAGAGAAGCAGAACAGGCCACAGCCACCTCACCTTGCCAGTTCCTCAGCTGATCCTGTTTCCTCAGACTGGAAGCCTCTGCGTCCTTATCCAAATGGATCTTAGCTGAACTGCTTCTCGAAAGCCTCAAAGCTTAACCAGCTAAAAGCTTCTAGTTTCTGGTCTTCACGCCTTAAATACCTTTCTGCTTTCTGCCCTCACTTCCTGGGATTAAAGGCTCACTTCTTGGGATTAAAGGCATGAATCACCATGCCCGGCTATTTCCAGTGTGGCCTTGAATTCACAGAGACCCATGCCTCCAGAAGGCTAGGATTAAAGGTGTGAGTGCCACCGTTTTCTAGCCTCTGTATCTAGTGGCTGTTCTGTTCTCTGACCCCAGGTAAGTTTATTAGGGTGCACAATATTTTGGGGAACACAATACCACCACAAACATCTGAGCCATTTTTTCAGATCAAAAAATTTATTTATTTTTTAAATTGTGTGTATGTGTGTGCAACACCCCCCACCCCCCGAAAATTAGAAGAGCCTGTGATATCCCCTAGAACAGGAGTTATAGGTGGTTGTGGGTGCATGAATGGAACCCGGGTCTCCTGAAAGAGGAGTGGCACTCCTAACTGTGGTGGTATCTCTCTAGGTTCCTCATTTTACATGCTATTAGGGATTATTGTTAAAAATCCTGTGACACGCCGGGCGGTGGTGGCGCACGCCTTTAATCCCAGCACTTGGGAGGCAGAGGCAGGCGGATCTCTGTGAGTTCGAGGCCAGCCTGGTCTCCAAAGTGAGTTCCAGGAAAGGCGCAAAGCTACACAGAGAAACCCTGTCTCGAAAAACCAAAAAAAAAAAAAAAAAAAAAAAAAAAAAAAAATCCTGTGACACTAGAGCTATCTCACTTGATGTAAAATTTCATTTTGTTGGAGGTTCAGGCTTTAGTTCATTCAAGTAAGGAATGCAATGTGCCTTTTAAAAACTTTATTTCTCATTTGTTACTGTGTGTGTGTGTGTGTGTGTGTGTGTGTGTGTGTGTGTGTGTGTGTGTGTGAGAGAGAGAGAGAGAGAGAGAGAGAGAGAGAGAGAGAGAGAGAGAGAGGAAGAGGAAGAGAGAGAGACAGACGGAGGGAGGGAGGGAAATTGAGAGAGGGAGGAGAGGGGGAGAGAGAAAGAGAGAGAGAGAGGGAGAGAGGGGCTCATGTGTCGAAGGACATGCATGTGAAGGTCAATAGAAAGCTTTGAGGAGATGGTTCTTTTTCTCAGCCTTTACAGGGTTCTGAGGGGCACACTCAGGTTTTGAGGCCTGTGTGGCAAGTGCCTTTACCCACTGAGCCCTCTTGCTGGCTCTATTTGTTTTTAATTTAGTTTCTTTTACTTAGGAGGAACTGAATGATGCTGTGGGATTTTCAAGAGTCATCCATGCCATTGCTAATTCGGTAAGTCATCCATATTTTGGTTTTGTTGCTAGTTGAATGGCTAAGCACAATGTTTAAAATGACGTGTCTAACTGCTTTTGGAAATTGCTCACTTGGTTGCTGTCTTAGGGTAGAAACCTGTGAAGAGACACCATGACCATGGCAGCTCTTATACAGGGGAACATTTATTTGGGGTTGGCTTGCAGTTTAAAGGTTCAGTCCATTATCTTCATGGTGGACATGGCAGCATGCAGGCAGAGATAGTGTTGGAGAAGGAGTTGAGAATGTAAGAGAAGCTACATTTTGATAGGAAGTGAACTGAGACAACTGGGCATATCTTGATCATAGGAGACCTCAAAGCCCGCCCCCACAGTGATATACTTCCTCCAACAAGGCCATACCCACTCCAACAAAGCCACACCTTCTAATAGTACCACTCTTTATGAGCTTATCTGGGCCAATTACATTCAGACTACCACAGTTACCCTTGGAATGTTTACCTAGTCTTAAGGAAGAAGTTACTGACATAGGGTGGGCTACTGCTGTGCAATGCACCAGGTCAGAAGTCATCATTGCTGAATTGTATCCAAACCAGTTTTCAGAAATCCTTTGTTGCAAAAGTACAGTGGAGTTTCACCCTACCCTAATGTCCATGTATAGCTGTGTGAAACTGACATCGTTAGTCTGAAATTGAGACTCAGAAGTCAAGGAGCAAGTCGAGGAATCCACAGGATAAATAATTACAAATTGACTTCCTCCACAGAACTCTAGTTCAATCCTGAAATACATCCACAATCTTAGTAATATTAAAGCTTTAAAAATGTACTGTCTGTTTTTGTAAATGTGCTAGAGAATTCTATGGTAGACATCTTTCCTTGGCCCTTTCTGAAAGGCATCCACCTTTTGCATGGGTAAGCGAGGTAGTGCTCTTGCTTGGATAGTAGATCACCTAGGTCAGTTGGATCTGGGAAACGGAGTTCTCTTGTTCCTTAGATGCTTGGCCATTGAGACCCTCTCAGAGTTCAGTGCAGGTCTGTCAATGTGGGCAGTGGAGAGGAGGCACACCACGTCCTCATTTGGGGATAACACAAATGATTAGAGCCTTCTAAAGGAACTTGTTACTGAAATAGACAGATAAACTGTTCTGAACAAGAATTGTGTGATCCTGGGAAGAGAAAGGGCTGAGTCTCTTCAGCAGCTGCTAAGATCACAGGTCCCCAGAAAAGCAGGTTCTGGTTGCACTTGGTACTGAATGCTTGAGCCAGTATGCTTGAGAAGCAAGGGAGCTCATTAATTAGTACAATGATTCAGCTGACTTTTCAAAGTTGAGGCATTTGTTCTCCGGGTACGTGGATAGATGTACATGTCTATTTGCTAAACTATATGTACTCCGAAAAAATACAAAAACATTAATAGTACCTTTGAATATCTATGTTGCTTGGGTAGATCTGAGAACTGGAAAATGATAGAGATCTCTTCAAAACACTCAGTTTAAATAGAAGGATCTAAATAAAATTATGTTTCCTAGGATCTAGAGGAAACATAGTAGAAAAAAAAAGTTGTTACATATATTAGAAATTAAAATATTTATTATATTAATTTCTTCTTTTTTTTTTTTTCTGAGACAGGGTTTCTCTGTGCAGCCCTGTCTGTCCTGGAACTCGCTCTGTAGTCCAGGCTGGCCTGGAACTCACATAGATCTCACTGTGCCACCACAGCCTGGCTTAATGTCTTATTAATATTAATAAGGTCTATGGAGCCAGCAGATAGTAAACACATGTATCTATCTTATCTATTTATTTATTTATTTTTAATTAAAAATTTATGTGTATGGATGTTTTGCCCGAATGTGTATGTGTGGACTTGTGCGTGCAGCTGCCTACAGAATCCAGAAGAGTGTGTCAGGTCCCCTGGAGCTGGATTTACAGGTGGTTGTAAGTGCCCAGTGTGGATACTGGGAACTGAACCTTTGTTTTTAAGATTTATTTATTTATTATGTATACAGTGTTCTGCCTGCATGTATTCCTGCACACCAGAAGAGGGCACCAGATCTCATTATGGATGGTTGTGAGCCACCATGTGGTTGATGTCCTGGTTCTAGGTATCACTGGACAGTGTGTGTACATACAGCAATAAGTGCAAGTATGGCTGCTGTGGGGTTAAATGAGAATGGCCACCCTAGGCTCATCGATCTGAGTGCTTGGTCAGGAGGGAGTGACACTATTTCAAAGGATTAGGAGGTGTGGCCTAGTTAGAGGAAGTGTGTCACTGAGGGTTGGCTTTGAGGTTTCAGAAGCCCATGCCAAGCCCAGAGTCTCTTTCTGCAGATCAGGATGTAGCTCTCAGCTACCACTCCAGCGCTGTGCATGCTGCCATGCTTCCTGCCATGATGACAATGGACTCAGCCTCTGAAACTTGAAGCAAACCCCAATTAAATGCTTTCCTTTATAAGAAGAGTTGTCTTGGCCATGGTGTCTCTCACAGCAATAGAACACTGACTAAGACAGCTGTTGACATCTGGCATCTTCCTTCTTTACTTGTTTTCCCAGCCCCCCAATTCTTTCACTTGTCTTGGTCTTCATTGAGTCAGCTAGTCTGGCTGACCAATGATCCCTCCCCAGTGTTTGGATTATAGAAATGTGTGCCACTGTGCTGGGAATACAAACTCAGGCCCTCATACCTATGAGGCTAACTACTTTATTGGCTGAGCCATCTCCCGAGCCCTGGTTCCAGGCCTGTGAGAAGTGTAATACTGATCAGACTCTTGCCTTTTATGCAGCTCTTGTAGTCTTTGACTTCATAGTGTCTAGTCACGATGCTTTCCTCCAAGTCTTGTCTTCCCAGCTTCTCACCTGGATTCAATTAGGTTCATTCATTAGAGTGTCTGCCATACAATGCTTGGCATTTTAACATTGCATAGGGACTCAAGACACATACAGATACTGATCCAAAAACAGCACAGTTTGTTAGATGTAGGATATTTTATATAAGATTAATTATGTCAAAGAATTAAGTTGAGCTCTGAGTTTGACGTGTTACATGGAGAACCACTGGAACTTTGTAAAAAGCTTCACTGTAGTGCTTCATGCTTTATGTTCAAAATGGAGTCATCTAGCCAGGACCACACAGTGAGTTCTGCACAACCTACAGAGGAGACCCTGTGTCAAACAAAACTAAACTCCCTTCTTAACCCACAAACAAGTGACGAAAACAAAGAAACAAACAAAATCTGAAAACAAAGTCGAATATGGTGGCGCATGCCTAATTCCAGCACTTGGGGAACAGAGGCACAAGGATCAGGCATTCAAGGTTATCCTCAGCTACATAGGCAGTCAGAGCCAGCCTAGCTACATGAGGACTTGTCTCAACTCCTACTCCTCTAATCCCCAAAACTAAACCAGCATCAATATCTTCTCTCCATCCCCTGAAGAATCACAAGGCCGGGACATTCTATTTTAGTAGTTAAATTTTTATGAAAATGTAGCAATTTATTGTACTGTATTGTATTCAGTTAATTGAGAAGCAAGGAAGGTCACCAGGATGGCTCAGTGGATACAGCACTTGCCATGCAAGCCTGGTGACCTGAGTCTGACTTCCCAAATCCATGGAAAGGTGGAAAGAGCAAACCTACCCCACAAATTTGTACCCTGACCTTCTCCACAGGCATGCTGTGGCATGTGTACTCCTCCCCCCCCCCCGCCCCCCCCCGCCCCCCCCCCCCCCCCCCCCCCCCCCCCGCCCCCAAGTATGTGTACACACACAGGCTAAAAATAAACTTTAAAAAAGAAGAGAAGTGACATGCCATGACCCTTTGAACTGTGACATAGATAATGTAGGAAATGAAAGTTTGTTGAGTTCAATAAATTAGGAATTATTTATTTTTGTATTTTTATAGCATTGTTATAAATATATCTTTAAAAATAGGTAGGCTGTTTTAAACGTCTTAAAGATATATACTTGAAGTTTTGTTCACAGCTTTTGACAAGTCTAGTTCTCAGGATTTCAGATTTCATTGTTTAAAAGTGGTTCAGTCAAACTTACTACTCCCAGCCAGGCACTGTGTGTGCTATATCCCCACCCTCTCAGGGAGTCTGAGGCAGGAGGATTGCTATAGCTCAGAAGGTCAAGAGCAGCCTGGGCAGTACAAAACAAAACCAACGAGCTGGGCGGTGGTGGCACATGCCTTTAATCCCAGCACTCGGGAGGCAGAGGCAGGTGGATCTCTGTGAGTTCGAGGCCAGCCTGGGCTACAGAGTGAGATCCAGGATAGGCTCCAAAGGTATACAGAGAAACCCTGTCTCGAAAAACCAAAAGAAAACAAAAAAAACAAAAAAACAAAACCAACAACAAAAATTACATCAAATTCCTAATAAGAAAAACAGAAAAATCACTAAGAATGGACACAGTGGGTGTATGCCTGTAATCTCAGCACTTGAGATGCTGAGGCAGGAAGGGCATGAGTTTGAGGCCCGTGCAGGTTACCTAGTGAGCAGTGGGCTTCTCTGTCTTTGTGTGAGACTCTTGTCTTATATGAATCATCAGTCTACTCTTAAGTCCTGATGCAATTCTGACATGTCTTCCTAACCTTGTCTTTTCCCAGGGGAAGCTGGTTGTTGGACACAATATGCTCTTGGATGTCATGCATACAATTCACCAGTTCTACTGCCCTCTGCCTGCAGTAAGTGGCTCCAGTGTGACACCCCCTGCCTTTCAACTGTGACTGTGCTCTCTGCCTGGGTTGTAATTCCTCAGTTCCTCATATGTGGCATGTCCCCAGGAACTACCTTACTCTTCTTTTTTAAAGATTTATTTTATTATTTTATGTGTATAAGTGTTTTGCCCTCATGTATGTGTGTCATGTGCATGCCTGGTGCCCAAGGAGGCCCAGAAGAGGGTACTTTTAGATTGGAGTGAGAGAAGATTCTGAGCTGTGAGGCGTCCTGGGTCTTCTGAAAGAGCAGCACATGCTGTTAATTGTTGAACCATCTCTCTAGCCCCTCAGATATCATCTTAAAAACATTTTCTAGGGACCTGGGAAGATAGTTCAAAAGTTAGGGGCTGATGCAAGGTTCTAGCCTTGCCTGTGCTGTTTTGATAGGATGTGTACATGAGCTCTTTTACCAGTTTGATAGCTGTCAGCTATTGCCAGAGCAAAGCTAAATATTTATTTCCTTGATTGATACTGATGGGTTTGCTCATTTACTACTGCACAGAGGATAGGCCAGAGGCACCCCTGAAATTAGATTTAGGAGAGCTGGAAGGAAATTGGTGCCACATGATTACCTCCTGCTGAGCACCCTGAGGCTCCCTGGGGACTTGGATGGCATTTCCGTACTTGGAATCAGGTCATTCGATCCATTATCACATGTCTCCAGTCTGCCTTTATAACCCTGAGACAGCTGTGTTGGATAATACCTGACTTATGAAAAGAATTAGGTGATGGCCCAAATTTGGGTTGTATGGCCATAGTTTGCCAATCCATGTGTATTAGTCAGGGTTTTTTAGAGAAGCAAAACTGACAGGATAAATTTATATATATAAAGGGAATTTATTAGAATGACTTACAGCCTGTGGTCCAGCTAGTACAATATCTGTCTACCAGTGGAAAGCCCCAGAACCCAGTAGTTGTTCAGTCCACGAGGCTAGATGTCTCAGCTGGTTGTCAGTGGACTCTGGAGTCCTGAAGAAGTTGGTTCTCATGCCCATGAGATTGAGAGTAACAGGCAGAGAGCAAAGCCCCCTCTTCCATGTTCTTTATGGAGGCTGCCAGCAGAAGGTGTGGCCCTGATCAAAGGTGGATCTTTCACTTCAAAATCTGGATTAAAGGTATATCTTTTCATCTCAAAAATCCATATTTGCTGGGTGTGGTGGCACATGCCTTTAGCCCCAGCACTTAGGAGGCAGAGGCAGGCAGATCTCTGTGAGTTCCAGGACAGCCAGGGCTGTTACACAGAGAAACCCTGTCTCAAAAAAACAAACAAAAAATCCAGATTAGAAGTGGGTCTCTCCACTTCCAATGACTTACTTAAGGAAAAAAAAAAAATCCCTTACAGGTGTGCCCAGCCATTTGGGTTTTAGTTAATTCCAGATGTAGTCAAGTTGACAACCAAGAATAGCCATCACACCATGCTTTATTTTTATTTACTTAAAAAACTTTATTTTAGCACTATCAAGGTAGTCTCAGTGGCTAAGTGCCCTTGCTTTTTCAGCGGACCTGGGTTTGATTCCCATCACCCACACTGGGCGGCCCACAGCTGCTTATAACTCTAGCTCCAGGGGATCTGATGCCTTCTGACCTCCAAGGACACCTGCAAAAATGTAGTGCCCAAAAACTCACCCACATACACACAAATAAACATAAATAATTTTTAAAATGTGTGAACGTTTTCCCTGCATGTGTGTATGTACACAATTTGCTTTCCTGATGTCACAGAGGCCAGAGAAGTTTGTCAGATCCCCTAAAACTAGAGTTACAGATACTTGTGAGCCACCATGTAGGTGCTGAGAGTTGACCTTGTCCTCTGGAAAAGCAGCAAGTATTCTTAAACAGGAGCCATCTCTCCAGCCCCTACTTATGTAGCCCAGATTGGTTGTGAACTCTTAGGCCCAAGAGCTAGGATTACAATCTGCTCCCTGCTCTTCATCTTCTGACCCAGCCCCTGCTTTAAACTGCTGGAAGTTGGACTCCTGTTTTTATTGCTTCTTGGAAGTTTTGGCTCTTGGATAAGAATTTGGCCTCTTTTACACATCTGCAACCTCTCTTTATGTTTCCTAGGTCTCGTTGCCCCATCAGAGGCAACGAGGAGGAGAGCAGTGCACTCGACCACTTGCATAGTGGGTCTGCTGGTCCCTTGCTCTAGGCTTTGCTCTTAAGGTTGCCACCACTTCCATGACAGACCCATCATCCTCCAGGATGCAAGGGTTCCAGCAAAAGTGATGACCAGACATTTGCATTTTCTATCTAAAGAGCTCATGATTGTTTTCAGTCATTCACTTCTCACTGGCCAGGGAAACTAATGGAGCAGCTCCTTTCCTGACCATAAAGCGATGAAGTTACCAAAAGTACCAGGGGAGCATATTTAGTGTTGTGTATCTGGGTGTTATAAATACTGAACAGAGGCAGGCACATGGAAGGCATTAAATATTGAATTAACAAATGAGTGTCTATGACTGATGTGTGGCACTCTTCACATTACAGACCCTGCCTAAAATTCCCAAGTAATCTCACATTCCTTGTTTCTGCGTATAGTTGCCTCTTTGGAGCTCAGCCTGTCCGGTCATATCTGATTGCCTATGTAAGCCAGCCTTTGTCAGGCTCCATGTCCCCAGCCAGTTGACATGTTTCCTAAATGCTATGTGTTCTGGCAGGCCTGTGGTTTGGGTGCATGATTACTTCTGCCTGCTTTACTGTGGCTCTGCCTCATGTTTGCAGTCTACACCTTCACTCACCTTTTCCTGCCATGCAGTTCTTCTCTGCATACTGCCTCGCTAGTTCCGGCTGTTCTGTGGTCAACCCCTCCAGGCTTTGGTGCCTCCAGGGTGCCTACATTGTGCTGTAGGTTACATGGTACAACCAATTCTAGATGATTAGATACTCTGTCTGTCTGTCTGTCTCTCTCTCTCTTTCTCTCAGAGAGAGAAAATTGTTCTTTTGTTTAGGTATGGAAAAGATGAGAGTAATAGGAGACAATCTATCGAAGGCGATAGAACATTTACATTTTCTGGCACTATACTTAAGTTAAAAACACTTTGTTTTATTTTTTGTGTATGGGCGTTGTCATAGTTAGGGTTTCCGTTGCTTTGACGAAACACCATGACCAAAAAGCGACTTGGGGAGGAATGGGTTTATTCACCTTACACTTCCATATTGCTGCTCATCATCAAAGGAAGTCAGGACAGAAACTCAAACACAGCAAGAACTTGGAGGCAGGAGCTGATGCAGAGGCCATGGAGGCGTGCTGCTTACTGGCTTGCTCCCCATGGCTTGCTCAGCCAGCTTTCTTATAGAACCCACCATGGGCTGGGCCTTCCCCCATCAATTACTAATTAACAAAATGTCTTGCAGTGAGAGCTTATGGAGGCGTCTTCTCAGTTGAGGTCTCCTCCTTTCAGATGACTCTAGCTTGTGTCAAGTTGATGTAAGACTAGCCAGCACAGGTGTTTTGTCTCTGTTCTATTGCTGTGAAGAGACACTATGACCAAGGCAACACTTAGACAAGAAAGCATATAATTAGGGGCTTGCTTAACAGTTTCAGAGGGTGAGTTCGTGATCATCATGGTGAGAAACAAACAGGCATGGCACTGTAGTAGTAGCTGAGAACTTCACATCCAATCTGCAGGCAGCAGGCAGTGGGGTGGGACTGGAGTGGGCTTTTGAAACCAGTGACACCTCCTCCAAGTCCACACCTTCTATTCCTTCCCAAACAGTTCCACTAACTGTGGACCAAATGTTCAAATATATGAGCCTTTGAGGGTCATTCTCACTCACATACTACAGCCTGCATGTATGTATGTCTGTGTTCCCCTTGAATGCCTGGTACCCACGGAAGCCAGAGGAGGGTATTGGATCCCCTGGGACTACAGTTACAGACAGTTCTGAGCTTCCATGTGGGTTCTGGGAATTGAACCCCTGTAGCTAGTGTTCTTAAATGAGCCATCTCTCCATTTCCTGGCATCATATTTTTAAAATGTAAATGTAAAACTCGTCACAGTAGCTCATCTGTAATCCAGAATTCCTACTAAGATAGGAGGTGGAGACAGGTGAATCCCCAGAAGCTCGTGGGTGAGACAGCCTGGCATGTAGTGAACAGGAGAGACCCTGACACAGGCATGTTAGAGGGAGAAGGCTGACATCAGATTGTCTTTGACTTTTGCACATGCACTGAGGCAGGCTTGTGCTCACGCTGTATATACACATATTATACAGATGCACATGCCAAGATAAAAATAAAAAGAAAGAATGCATGTTTTGGTATTTAGGGGTTAGTTTTTTATGGGGCCTTTTGCTGCTTGAACATGACCTTGTAGGTGTTGGCCCAGAACTCTGTGTTCGCCCTGAAGGTGATCATAATTCTGCTTTGTTCTTGCTTATAAAACTTTTTAGCGGTGTTGAAAGGTTATCAATGGTCATTAGGAGGGTTGGAGAGATGGCTCAGTGGTTAAGAGCACTGGCTGCTTTTCCAGAGGACCCAGGTTCAATTCCCAGCACCCATATGGCAGCTCACAACTGTCTGTAACTCCACTTCTAAGGGATCTGACACCCCCACACAAATGCACATAAAATAAAGTTAAATAAATTTCTAAAAAAATGGTCATTAGGGCATTTTTTGTTTGACTTAGCCTTAGAACCACTTTTTCGTATTTTGTCCATTGATTAAATGACAGCCATTGAGAAACTGGTGTAGCTAAATACAGTCTGTGGTTATAGGCTTGAAAAGCTAATTGGAAATGGCAGCTTGCTGAGAAGCATGAATGACTTTGAAAAGAAATGTGGTTTACAAAGGATCAGGAGTGTTACTACCCAGGCTAGCATAGCAATTATATATGTAAATAAGCTAATTCAAAACTAAAGTACTCTAATTTTTGCTCTAGAATTCCTGATCAAAGTAAACCTTTGAAATGAATAGTCTAATTTAGGCACTTACTGTTAGTGCCACATTAACAATTTTTTTTTTTTTTTTTTTTTTTTTTGGTTTTTCGAGGCAGGGTTTCTCTGTGTAGCTTTGCGCCTCTCCTGGAACTCACTTGGTAGCCCAGGCTGGCCTCGAACTCACAGAGATCCGCCTGGCTCTGCCTCCCGAGTGCTGGGATTAAAGGCGTGCGCCACCACTGCCCGGCTCCACATTAACAATTTTATGAGTACTTAGAGTAGGAACAATATGTATGTTGTAAGGTCTGTGTTTTTATGGCCATTTTAACTAACAACCGGAGATGGCCTCAGAGATAGAAGCTGCTTTACAGTGTAACCATTCCCGTATCAGTCACTGTAGTGACACCAGCTAGTGTCACTGATAGAATTAAGTCTACCCTGGGGTACGACAGTCTCTCAAGTCAGCAGTACTTTACATGTGATGGAACCACTCTTTCTTTAGTTCAGCTACAGAATCTTTTGGTTATAAAATTACTTATCCAAGCCACATAATTCCTAGTGAGAAATAGGAAATATTCCTAAATTCATTATTTATTTATTTTTTTATTACATTAAAATTTTAATTGTGTTTATTCTTTTATGTGTATAGTGTGTTGCTGAGGTGTGCCTGTGGAAGTCAGACATAACTGTGGGAGTCCGTTCCCTCTTTCCACCATATGGGTCTCTGATCAAATTCAGGTGGTCAGGCTTGGCATCCGGTACCTTTAACCTGCCAAGCCATCTTACTGTCCTTATTTTTCTTAATTAAAAATTTTGTGTGTGTGTTTGTGCACTTGTGCATGTGGCAGTCAGAGGACAATTTACAAATGTCAGCCTTCTGACATGTGAGTCCTGGTGTTGAACTCAGATTGTCAGTTTTAGCAGCAGGTGCCAAGACTGATTGGCTCAGATTTTATTTTAAAAGTAATTCATTTGCTCTGAGGTTTATTTATTTTTATGTGTATGAATGTCTTGCCTGCATATATGTATGTATGTGTACATGTGTGCCTAGTGCCTGAGGAGTTCAGAATAGGGCATTAGATCTCCTGGACTAGAGTTATGGGTGGTTATAAGCCACCATGTGGGGTCTGGGACTCTAACCTGGGTCCTCTGCAAGAGCAACAAGTGCTCTTTACCTCGGGGTCATCTCTCCAGCCCCTAAGAAATAATTCTTTTTTTTTTTTTTTTTTTTTTGGTTTTTTGAGACAGGGTTTCTCTGTGTAGCTTTGCACCTTTCCTGGAACTCACTTTGGAGACCAGGCTGGCCTCGAACTCACAGAGATCTGCCTGCCTCTGCCTCCCGAGTGCTGGGATTAAAGGCGTGCACCACCACTGCCCGGCAAAATAATTCTTAATTAGAAGTGGATTTTGCTCTTTAGCTTGAGGCCCAAGTGAGGCATGAGAGTTAATATTTGAAAAAACAGCTGAGAGCTGGAGCTGCTCATGTGTATTTTTAACAATACTCTGGTCTGCCTGAAAGATAGTAACAGGCTATCCTTTTGCTTTTTAGGATCTGAATGAGTTTAAGGAGATGACAACATGTGTCTTCCCCAGGTAAGCCTTCTTCAAGAGCCCCCTGACATTTGAGATACTCACTGAGGTATATGCAACACAAGTAGGCAGTTCCTACAAGCTGGGAAGGGATTTAATGGAATAGTGTGATCATCCATTAAAGATCAGATTCTAACTTAGAGTGAAAGTAGAAAGTAGCTGATACCTCTCTTTTTCCTGTCCTGCATCCTGCCATCTGAAGGACTGGTGAAGGGCCCTGGCACAGGTCTGGCCATTCACACATGTGGAATGTAGCTTTTTAATTATTGATGTGTCCCAGCTGAGACCGCTCTCTCCTCGGTTCAGAACTGCATGGCTAGAGAGAACCCCACCCACTCCCTGTGAGTTGGTCAGCGCCCGCCCGTGGTGTTAGTGGTTTCCACCGTCAGCGGTGCAGTGCATGCTCGTTTGGCTGTACTGCGTGTCACGCGTGTGATCAGCTGCATGTCCTATACAGTAAGACACTTTTAGGTCTTTTGAAGAAGGGCACGTGAGGGTAGCCAACGAGTCATATTTTCATCTGGGCTGTTGCTGTCCTAGCCACAGTGTTTATATTTATGTGGAACTAGATTTAGACAGAATTCTTCCGTGCTTACTCTCTTCCTTAGTATTTCTGGTCCTGAAATAGAGTAGTTATGTGTTCTACTTCTTCTCACAGCTCATGGGAGGAAAAGTGTAGCTCACAGTTTGAGGATATAGTCTGTCCTGATGGGAAGGGATAGTGGACTCATGGGGTCACGTTCCTCACCTACAGGCAAGGAAGACCCCGATACTTACCTGGCTTTCTCTCCTACTTTACTCACTGTGTGTATGTGTGTGTGTGCTTCCTGCTTTCTGGGGGTGGGGGTGTCTTCCCTCCTCATTTAAACTCTGGAAACTTCCTTATAGGCTCTTAGGTGATTCCAAATCCAGTCAGTTTGACAGTGGAGCTTAGCTGGCACAGTAAGAAATAGCAGGAAACTTCCCAATGCAGACTTTGGCTCCATAAGAATTCAGATTGTGTAAACTAGGTGGTAGCAGTGGGTTGTGACCATGGGGAAGGGCTGACTCTGTAGAATGGGAAAACATGCAGCTTTTGCCTCACCTTCAAGATGAATGCCAACCTCGTTCTTCTCGGTACAGGCATGGCACCTGTTCCTTTGGCAAGTATATGGAATACCTACAGCAGTCTGATGAGTGAAGCCAGCACGTGGGACTCTGTCCTTAGCTCATTAACCACATTGCCACTAGGTTCACACTGGCGAGTGTGTGTGCTTCATCTGCCCACTTCTAAGTGTTTTATGAATTAAGTGTTTTTTAAGTATATCATATATGAAGTGTATGTTACCTATATATTTTATTTATGAGACATTTTAAGTATTTTATATTTTAGCAAAGTACATTTTAAATATTGATATATTTTATTTACCTTACTAAAATTTATTTTGCTTCTAGACTTTTGGATACTAAGTTGATGGCCAGCACACAGCCTTTTAAGGTATTATTTAAATCTGAACTATCATTCATAAGATATAATTTGAAATTTTTGTTTGTTTGAGACAGAGTCTTGGTATGCCCAGGCTGGCCTTGAACTCACCCTATACCTGAAAGCAATAACCTTGAATTCCTGATCTTCCTGCCTCTGCCTCCCATATGCTGGGATGCAAGCATGTGCCACCATGCTCTATTTGAAACCTTTTGCATTACCACTAATAACTTTGGAATTCTGGTCTATTTAAATGTTATTTCAAACATATTAAAAAATAAGAAAGGAGCCGGGTGGTGGTGGTGCACGCCTTTAATCCCAGCACTCAGGAGGCAGAGGCAGGTGGATCTCTGAGTTCGAGGCCTGCCTGGGCTACAGTTGAGTTCCAGGAAAGGTGCAGAGCTACACGGAGAAACCCTGTCTCGAAAAAACTAAAAAAAAAAAAAAACAAAAAAAACAAAAACAAAAAAACAAACAAAAAAAAAAAGAAAGGAAAAAGAGAGAAATTGGAAAAGTCCAGAAATAAGTATATCAAAATGTGAACAGTTATCTTTATTTTTTCCTCTTTTTGAATGTAAGTTTTTAAATGTTAAAATATATGCATTTTTTTATTTTACTTATTTTTATTTTTTAGGTACAGGCTTACTTTTTAGCCTAACTCTATAGTCCTCCTTCTGTCAGCTTCCCCAGGGCTGGGGTGACACGTGTGTACCACCACACCAGCTGTAATTACACACACACACACACACACACACACACACACACACACACACACACACACACACACAGTCCTGGCTGTTCTGGAACTCACTTTGTAGACCAGGCTAGCCTCAAACTCATAGAGATCTGCCTGCCTCTGCTTCCCGAGTGATGGGATTAAGGCATGAACCATCACACCTGGTCTATATTTTATGTTTTTGAATAGGTTATACATGCAACCAATTTGTCCTTTCTCTACCTGCCTCCTTATTTTACATATTTGGATATACTTTCTAATAAAGATGACGTATGATCATTTACATCCTTGTGAAGGACTTTCTGCAGCCTCCAGAGCAATATGCTGGGACAGTGCCTTCCCGCCCGTCCCTGCCAGCAGTCCTGGAAATGACTGACTTTCTGTAGCCTTTGAGCAGTGCACTAGGACAGTTCCTGCCAAAGTTGTGTCACCCCCAGGCCCCACACCCCAGCAGTCCTGGAAGTTTGTTTTTTCTCCCCCTTCTACAGTTTTTTTTTCCTGGTTTTGCTTTAGTAACCAGGTTGGCCTTCCACTCTCCAGCCTGCTGCCTCAGCCTCCCAAGTAGCTGATTACAGGTGAGTACCACTAGGCCTGCCTTTGTTTGTAGGTTTTAACAGGTGTCCTTGTTCCTATCAGTACAATGACCCTTGAACTTGCTGGGGTGCTTTTTTTTTCATGTAAACAGTGGCTTCTGTTCCTTTAAAGGACACAAGAGGGCAGTATGGGATGCTTTTTCCTTTTTGTGTACCCTGAAGTGGCCTTCCTTAATCTCTTGCTCTCAGATGAAATGTCCTAATTCTCCACCTCCTGCCTTGCAGGATATCATTAACAACACATCCCTTGCAGAGTTGGAAAAGCGGTTAAAAGAGACACCTTTTGACCCTCCTAAAGTTGGTAAGAATATTAACCTTCAATATTAACCTTGAAGACCTTCAAACTCTGGAAATTACCGATATGTTCTGTAGAAAGACTGTAAACCATCTCTGAAACTGTATTACATTCTTTGTAGACTGTGGCTGGGTTGTGCCTGTGCTGGATTGCTGTTTTCTGAGTAAAGATGGTATTCTAATCCATATCTAGCTACATCAACATCATGTTAATAGAATTGGGTAGGGATTCACTGAGAAGTTTCAAGACTTTTATTTCCTAATGCTTGGAGTTCTCTCAAAATGTGATGTGTCCTTTCAAATGGTGTGTTGTTTGAGCAGAGACAGAGTCAGTGACTAATTGTCAGAAATGCAGCAAAAACATCTCCTGTCTCAGAAAACCCAAGAGCTGGGATGCTGCTGAGAAAAGAGCACACCTCTGTGTCCTCGGAGCTAGTTTGGGCCAGAGAAACAATATTATTGAGGAAAGCCAGAGGTCAGGAGGAGCACTTGGTATGAGATGGGTTGTGTGGGTGTGTGGCCCCCACCCCTATGTTTTGGGACACTGTGTCCTTGGTCCTGTTACCCACATTGTGCTGCTGACCTGTAGTTAGCATTCCATTAGCTGTGGCTAGAAATCTGCTCAAGACACTGATAGCAGCACTGATGATTCAGAAGTTGGTGATGGGAGCTACTAGGGCAGGCAGAGTCACAGGTATTTGCTTCCCTTTTGGGTAGTAGTCCAAGAAAGGAAGTACAAAGATGCGGGGTGGATAGAGGGAAGGAAACCCATGCCCAGTGTAGAACAGTGTAATGGAATAATTGATTTGTGGAGTGGTGAGCTTCAGCAGGTGTTGAGGATCTTAAGTGCTACAGTGTTAAAAGTTTCTTAGGAAGTGTCGAACCCAATATTTAGATCATAAGAAGGTTAAAACGTTCTTGTACAAAGAGCATTGTATTGGTATGAAAACAGCTTCCAGTCATTCCATCAGTATTTTCTGCCCATTCTTCTGATGAAGCGATGGCCTTTCTAACATTTATTTTCAGATTGATTCTAGGAAATAATTACTTTTGAGTAAGAGCTGTATCCTATCCTATTATTTTCATATTTCTCTGGTAGAGAATTTACTCAAAAGCAGATTATTCTCACATTCTCTCAGTACCTGTGTATATCAGCATGACTAAGCATTATCTTATAAAATAATTTTTGTAATACAGTGGCCCTGTGAACTAAGGGCAGTGTTACAGCAAGTTCTCATTTATCTTGGGAGTGGAGTATGCTGTTGTCTTTAAATTGCTAAGCTTTTGAACAGTTGAGGACCGTACCAGTAGTGAGTTGGACTATTTAGTTTTATGGGAACTATTTGTGATACTAATGGTTATGAACATATGACATGTGCCAAGCACTAGATGAAACCTTTAGCACTACCATGCCATTTGATGTTCCCCAAAAGCCTTATGAGGGAAGGTTGATTATCATCTCCTTTTTATAAAACTTGGGGCTCAGAAGCCAATAGCTGAACCTTGGTAAGGAAACAGACCAGAGCCCTATTGCCCAGAGTCACATTGCATGTGAGTGATGGAGTAGGGATTCAGATGGACACTGTATGACCTCTAGGTCCTTGGCTTTTTATAAGTTTATTGTTTATTTAATTATTTGTAAAGATAGGGTCTGTCTTTGTAGCCAAAGCTGGGCTAGAATTCACTATTTAGCCTAGGATAGCCTCAAACTTGCTGTGGTTCTTCTGCCTCAGCTTCTCAAGTACAGAGATTGCAGGTGTGACCACCGTGCCTAGCTTGGAGTCTTGCTTAATCTGCTGTGTCCTACATGTATGGTAAGAACAGCACAGTAGAAATGTCATAGGATGGGAAACACAAAATTGCAAATGGCCCCAACCAGTGTAGCTAAGGAAGCCAATAGCTGAACAGAAATAAGACATGTTTCCTGTGTCTTCCAGCCACATCTGCATCTCCTATACACCAGAATGCAGTTTGGGTTTGGCAGGACACCATGCTTACTAGTTCTTGTGTTTGGTAATGCTCTGGGGAAAGTTGATGGTTCCTTTTGTTTCTCTTTAGAAAGTGCAGAAGACTTTCCAAGCTATGACACAGCTTCTGAGCAGCTCCATGAGGCAGGGTATGACGCTTACATCACAGGACTCTGCTTCCTCTCCATGGCAAATTACCTAGGTACTTGAGCTGTGTTTCTGTTAAACAGAGTGGGTCTCAACTGTTTCCTCTTAGCTCAGCCTGGTGTGACAAATTTCCAAAGACCAGGCTTAGATAACAGACCCATGTTTCTCATGGTTCTGGAGAGTAGGAAGTCCAGATCGAGGACCCATCCCCAGGCACTGGCTTTCAGACAGTTGTCACTCATAGTAGAGTTCTAGAGAGAGGAAGCACCCATGCTTCTTGTGAAGGAACCAGTTCCCTCCTTACCTCCCAAATAGCTCATTCATGGATACCATTGTTTGGGATTCAGCTTCCATGTGGGAGTGGGGAAGGGACAACAGTCTGTGCATCACAACCACTGTCTTAGGATCTGGCCACCCTGAGAGAAGCAGGAGGGTTTTGAGAGGGCAGCTGGAGGAAATGAGGAGGGGACACACAGGAAGGAACTGCTGACACTTGCCCATGGACGTGTGTGGACCCTCGCTGAATGTAACATACTTGTGTCTGAGGTTCCACACTTTGACCACGTGCTGTGTGTAACACCTGTTTCTCTTCACTAGGTTCTTTACTCGATCCTCCAAAAGTGTGTGTGTCCACCAGATCAAAACTCATTGAACCCTTTTTTAACAAGTAAGTAATCAGAGGGTTACAGTCCTGGTTTCTCACATTGTGAACAAGCCCCATATCTTGGGAGATAGGGAACTAGGGTACATTTTTATTAAGTATTTCTCATCTTTAGTAGGTCAGATTTTTTTTTGAAAGTAGAAATTGACCTTTTGGGAAATCATTTTTCAAATATACTAGCTTAAAAAAGAGACTAAAGAGGCTGGGCATGGCATGCCTTTAATCCTAGCACTTGGGAGGCAAGGATAGGCAGATCTCTGAGTTCAAGGCCAGCCTGGTCTACAGAGCAAGTTCCAGGACAGCCAGGGCTACACAGAGAAACCTTGTCTCAGAAAACAAAAACAAAAACCACAAAAAAAAAAAAAAACCCTAAAGAAAACATTGCTAATGGTAGTGTATCTCTTCCAAGAAAAATATGATCGTGGTTTTGGCATTTAAATTACCTTCAAGGGATGCTTGTGTTTATAGCTAAACCCACCCCCTAGTGAACTTTACATGTGACATTATTATTTATTGTATTTGCCTTACTAATGATTACATGTTATTTCTAAGGCAATGTTTGATGAATGGGTGCACTAATCCATGAAGTCTGGACTGTCATTGCATGCTCATTAGTTCTCTGCTCATCTCTTTCGTTCTGTGGTGCTGGGGATTGAACCATGGTCTCATGCATGCTAGGCAATGCTCTGCTGTTGATCTCATCTAGTGAAGAAAAAGCTTGTTTGTACATTCTTCATTGTCATAGGGAGTCATTGCAATTTCTGAAGAAGTCTTAAGTTCAGAGCATTTTTAAAGAATCTCAGAGATTGTTATTTCAGAGTGTGGGTTGTGCTTGCTTGGCAAGGTTGTGACTAAAGTTATGATATAATGCTTAGGCAGCCAAGTCTGGCTATATGCCACAGCTCTCAGCCTTTGTCTTGGCCTCAGCTCTCTTAAGAGTTGATACTAGATTCTGTGTGAGCTAGACAGAATGAGGCAGCTCACTTCTACTATTGTAAGAAATAGCTGTTTCAGTGTTGGTGGTTACATCATTTCCATCCATTATGTGCAGCACATTACAATCATATCGTGGCTTTACTAGGTAGGATACTGTTTCCTTAGGGTATCTATATAAATGATAGTTCCACAGTTCTGTACTTAGTATGCCATGGAGACAGCTGCTATTCCAACATCTGGACTGTTAAAGGCTCTGGACTGATTCTCTGAGCTAGTGAACTTCATTACATTGTGGTTTCCTTTATCATCTTCTTTTCTCACTTTCTTTCTTCCGTTATTATTAATTTAATGTGTGAGTGTTTTGCCTGTATGTATGTTTGTGCACCGTGTGTGTGCCTGGTGCCCACAGAGACCAGGAGAAGTAGTCAGATCCCCTGGAACTGAAGTTACAGGTGGTTGTGAGCTGCCACGGAGACGCTGGGAACTGAACCCGGGTCCTCGGGAAGAGCAGCCCGTGCTCTCGCCAGTGTTCCGTCTTCTGTTTTTGTTGTAGTTTCATTTGGAAGTTCAGAGGAAATATGTGTGAAGTTGACAGCCTTTTCAAAAGTGTGTTAGGCCATAGTGTGATGTATATTGGAAATTAAGTTGAATTCTTTTGCATGGAAAATGAGTTGTGGTGTCCAAGTCTTTTATGTCTGTTCAGTTCAATAAGAGTGGGGAAAAAAAAGAGTGAAAAACCATTTTCTTAGCGTTTACCTCTTATTTTAGAGTCGTGTTTATCTTTGTAATTCTTCTGAAATCTATGCCACTGGTGACAATAAATGTGGTTTAAGTTTTGATCATTCCTTACAGTTTTATTTTTTTATTTTTTTTTTAATTTTTTATTTTTATTTTGCAATACAATTCAGTTCTACATGTCAGCCACGGATTCCCTTGTTCTCCCCCCTCCGGCCCCCCTCACCTTCCCCCCAGCCCACCCCCCATTCCCACCTGCTCCAGGGCAAAGCCTCCCCCGCGGACTGAGATCAACCTGGTAGACTCAGTCCAGGCAGGTCCAGTCCCCTCCTCCCAGGCTGAGCCAAGTAACCCTGCATAGGCCCCAGGTTTCAAACAGCCAACTCATGCACTGAGCACAGGACCCAGTCCCATTGCCTGGATGCCTCCCAAACAGATCAAAAATATGGAATGCTTCACGAATTTGCGTGTCATCCTTGCGCAGGGGCCATGCTAATCTTCTCTGTATCATTCCAATTTTAGTATATGTGCTGCCGAATCGAGCACTCCTTACAGTTTTATATACATGATATTATATTCACTGTTCTACAGTATTTTTCAAATTGGAAATGTTTAGCTCCTGCAGATATTTGAAGCAGCAGTTCTGTGATTCCTTACAAAGTCAGGTGTGATGGGTACAGACTGGGTCAGATGGAGATGGCATCTAGCTTCTGAGTCATGCATGTGCCTGAAAGCATAGCACCGAACAGCCTGCTCAAGAGCTTTTCTGCAAGAGTGTATTGCAAATGCTGTGCAGCCTTCTGATGTAGAAGAACCTGACAGAGCTAGTTGTGGTTCACGCCGGTATTCCAGTACTTGGGAGACTGAGTCTGAAGCTAGATCTGGGCCGCATAGTAAGTTCTAGGCCTGTCTAAGCCACAGTGTAAAACCATCTCCAACAAAAACAGAAAAAGGAAAGAGCTGGACGGTAAATACCTAAGGTGTCATTTAACATGAGAACATCTGTCCATTTAGAGTTTTTCTTTTTGAGGAACTAAAATCTAAGTACATATCAAAACAGTGGATAAGGGCATAAGGTCAGGAATCCTGCTAGGATCTTCTCAAAAATTTACTTTTGCTCTATTTTTTCTTATTTGTAAAAGAAAAAGATATTTTTCTTGTCTTTGAAGAGAAAACACTGGTTTTCCTGTTCTGTTCTGTTCTGTTCTGTGCGTCATCTTGGTCCGCACAGCTGTGTCTTCTGAGGCATCTGCAGTGGGGACTGCCGCTCCTGACATGTCTTCCCTTAGCACTGACCTTGCTCTTACAGGTCTGATTTATCACACTGGACCTTTGTCTTGTCATTTTTCAAGTTACCCTGTTATAAACATCCAACATTGGCCCCCAACATTATTTCAATTAATGGTGTCAGAAAAACATGACTTTTCTGAAGGTCAACTTATTTCATTATTATCTTATTTTTTTGTTTTTCTTTTGAAACAGTGTCTCATGTAGCCTCTGTCCTCAAACTCTGCTAAAGAAGACCTTGAACTTCTAATCCTCTTGTCTCCTCCCAGGGCAGTTAATTTTTATAGCAGTTTTTCTAAATGTAGCTTTACCACACTGGTGTAAAATCTGATGAACTTCAAACTGACCTCAAACACACACCACTAATAGTATTTTGTTTTGCTTTTTATCAGATCTCTGTTTTAAAAGTGAAGTTCAAGACAGGTTGTTGGCAAGATGGGTCAATAGGTAAAACAGTTGGGACACAAGCCTGGCAACCTGAGTTTGCTTCTTGGAGCCCATGGAAAGGTGGAATGAGAAAACCCAGTGTGCAAAGTTGTTCTCTGACTTCCACACACATGCCAGACATGTGCACCCACATACACACATGCATACATATAATGATAACTATATATAGAACTTTTTGAAAAGAAGAAAAAGATAAACCTTGAGCAGAAATAAACTCATATTTCCATTTAAAATTTTGTGTGCAGTGTGTGTGTGTGTGTGTGTGTGTGTGTGTGTCTGCCTGTGCCCACTCACACTGGAGATTGAACACTGTGTCTCATGTATGCTAATCCTTACCACTGAGCTACACTTCCAGCTTACAAAGTCTGGTATGCATGTGTACGCGTGTGACAAAGAGTCAAAGAGAACTGAAGCGTGGCAGTGAGAATCGGGCTGCTCTTGACCTGCTACTGGCAGTGGCCTGCTTTTTATGTGGGGGACTCTTTGGTCAGGAAATGATTTACTTTCTTTTATGACCTTGGTTTATTTTAATCAATGCATAGAAAGCCAGACAGAGAAGAAACTTTGGCTCAACCCTTTTAGGCTGGAAAGAGATAAAAAATACTCTCTGTTTTTACATTTATTGAACCATGGAAAGCAAAGCCTGACTTTGCCTTATATTTTATTAGCAGCTATCTGTCTCTGCAAGGAACTTTGAAATCTCTTGCAGATAACCTTTTACAAAGGTTTATTAAAGGAGAGTTTCCACCTCTACTTACTGCCTCCCTGCCTGGCCCCCTAAGAGACATGCTGCTGTGGTAAGAAGATAGGTAGATAGGTTTTAATGATAGCAGTGACATGTTTGTTACCCTTTGAACTAGATTGGAGTACAGAGGCTGCAAGTGGGAATGAAGTGTCTCCTTTTGCACGTTCTACTTCCAAGCGTTATAGGCTTATGAAAGAATACTCGGGAAGATGGTGTCAGCCTGGTACTTGGAAGCACAAGCACTTTGAATTGGGGCAGTTAAAGAAGTTCTGTTGCTCAGATGACTGTAATGCTGAAGTTATGGCAGGTAGTGACAGCCTGTTGAAGAGCCGCAAGTAGAGAGGGCGAAGACTCCTGAATAGTCAAGTCCCCCAAATCACACTCATGTTTTGTTCCTTTCATCTATGGAGAGTGACCACGTTCTGGCGAAAGACTGGGCCTTTCTTTAATTTTTTTTTTTTAAACTTGCTAATATTTGCATGTGTGGGGGTGGGTACTGTGAGTGTGGGTTCTGGGGATCAAACTTAGGTTGTCAGGCTGGGTCATCTTGCTGTCCCTGGGTTTTTCTTACAGTATATATGACCAAAAATTTATCATCAAAGTAATTTTTTTTTGAGACAGGGTCTCTCCATAAAACCCTGGCTGTCCAGAACTCTCTATGTAGACCAGGCTGGCTTTTAATTCACACAGATGCTTTTTCTTCTGCCTCCTGAGTGCTGGGATTAAAGGCATGTGCCACTATGGCCCATTTCACTGAAGTGATTTTTAACTTGAAGGATTACAGGAAACAAAATACTAAGGATTAGAGCCCAGCTCCTGGCACAGCTCTGAGTGCCATTCATGCCTGGAAGCATGT